TTCATTTTAATTCGATCGAGTCGCGACACGGTAGTGCCAGAATGATTACTCAGGAAATCCCTTCGAAACCATGTTGCCACAGCGTATAGCCTTGTGCAATACACAGGGTGACCCAGGGTTCAACGGCCAGACTGCAGGAGCGTGTTTTATGGGTTGAAGTTAGACTTTTTGGTTAAATGAAGTTTTTTTCTAAAAGTACCCTCAGTTGGGTTGGAGTTACGCCCCCACCCCAAAAATTTCTGAAAGTAAATCTTTTTTCTAAACACTGGAAAATAAAAAACACATTGGATCTAGAGTCCAGACTCTTAAAAACATCGACAAGAAAAAGTACTCTTGATTCTCTCAGAATCTAGCTAAAATCAAGAACGAAGCCTCTTAATTTAAGCGGATTTCGTTTTGATTCAAGCAAAAATCCGACTGAATCAGAGTATTTTTCCTTGCCAATGTTTTCAAGAGTCTGGACTCCAGATCCAATGTGTTTTTTTCCCCCCCCAGTGAAATGTGGCAACGGTTGTGAAACAAATCTCATGAAAATTTGCACTTTCCTATACCGCGATGCATTCATAAATGATCTACATGAAGTCTAAATCTCAAACAACAAGAACGTCTTATTTTGACCAATCCCATAAAATACGCTCCTGCAGTCAGACCATTTATCCCTGGATCACCCTGCACAGTATACACTTTTGTGCGCCATTAATTTGTTTAAAAGCAGTGTTGATGTCGTGTGGAGCTGAATACCATATAAGGGCCTGTTTCATGTAAGAATCCTCTTTACGTGAGCTACAAGGTCTCGGAAACATGAGTGCCGTTTGCGCACCGAAAATCAAATTTGTTATCGTTCACAAAGTGGTAAGTTGACCTACGATTCTGCATTGATATCATGATACTCCCAAAAATCGACTTTTACACATAAAATGAAAAGGACATTCTTGTGTGAATCGAACTTTTTAAGTCTTACCTCCCCTGGTAAGAATTTCGATAAAAAGCTTTATCAACCCTTCGTAAGGACAGGATGGTTCCAAACCTATTTTAGGATAAATAGGAGTAAGGAAAAGGTAACCCTCAAAGAGAGAATAAAATGGTACATCAGAAAATGAGCGAATCCCAGGTTGACACAGGAACCGTTCTGTGAATGTCCTTCTTACAGCTTTTCGATTCGAGTGACCGCGTATGGACTGCCAAAATTGAGTGGAAAATTGCTTCTTTTCTTCTACGTTCTCCCTTCCTGGAAAGCCCGGCTAGCGAGATCCGCATTAGTGATAAAAACGATTAGGGATGAGTCGATTTAGGTGAATTATTTTCCCTCGTCAATGGTCAGCTTGAAGCAATGGCAAAGTTACACCGCTCGCAGCTGTGAAATCGTCTGTGCTGGGTCGTTTCTCGGGTGGCTTGCAAGTCTGAATCACTGACCGACAGATTAACGACTCCCGCACTACCGCAATCTCCAGAGACGGAGCTTGCAGTTAATAAGCACACTGGAAAAATATTCCATTGCCTCTCGCTTTAAGCTGTACGCTCATATGCTTCCAGAGAACTCCGAACCACAACCTCCAGGACCTGGGTATGTTGATCGAGGTATGTACGAAATTCCGTATATGTTACCATGTTACGGTTGAGGAGCGTACTCACCCTGATGCTACATGAAAATGTCTCTGCGTGGGCAGAGGAATCCCCCCAAACATCATTTACAAAAAGACAAAGTCAGTTGTGGTGTTTTTCTTTCATTTTACGCTTTCAAAATTATTAAAAATGAGGACCCTGATATGTTCTTTGATGTAGATATTTTTAGACACTATATGTACACCTCTGTCAAAGCTTCGGTAGAAGTATGCTAAGTTTTCTGTGATTTTAAATTTGTGAGCCCCTATTCCCTGTACAAATCCTCCACTTTCATTTTACTTCGTTCTTTGAATTTATTATAAGCACCTTTTTTAAATTTAGTATTCTTTTCTGGTCAGATCTAGCCTTTGTTTTGTTCTTTTATGTTTATTTATATTTATTTTATTTGTGTTTAATTTTCATTTCCTTATTTTAATCTTGTTCATATTCATTTATTTATTTGTTAATTTCTTACTATTGTTACCTTATTACTGAATTTTCAGTCATCTTATTTCGTATCATTTGTTCTTGGAGCGCTGCCCCTTTAACATCATGTGTGCATACGTTCACAATATTTGTCCAAACCTTCACACCCTGTGTGTCTTGCATGCCATCAATTTTGACCTTTTTTCATTTACTATTAGCTTTTTTCCCCATCCTTTTAAGTCAAGTATGCTTTGTTTGATTTTTTTTTTTTTTTTTTTTTTTTTTTTTTTTTTTTTTTTTTTTTTTTGTGTGTGTAGCCTTAGTTACCCGTAATTCATCTACAAATGTCATAGAATGTGTATTCGAGGTTGAGGTTTAAATCCCATGTTTGCAGGGTAATACCACCCCTGAACACAAAAAAAAACCGGGTGGTGCAAGTGAATGACATGTTTGTGCTGTGGTATGGATGTGCATTCCATGAACGAAGACGTTGCTCCTGTTCGGATCGGTGTATCCAAGGGGTGAACGAGGACTATAACTCCTGTTCGGATCGGTGGATCCAATGGTATCAGGGTTACTCCCCTGAGCACAAAAAGGGTTGCATCAATGAATGACATGTTCATACTTAGTTATGAAGATGTTCGATGCCTGAGGATGAAAGCCAGTGGTTTTCAGGGTTGTCTCTGATGACACCATCGAGATCGGATTCTTTGAATCCATGAGTTTACGTTAGCAATGATTGGCAATTATTAATGAAAATATTGATTTATTTCAGTTTGAAATCAAGAGTTGTGTTCAAAGATGGACGACGATTCTAATTTAAGACTGCAAGCGTTGGAGGTTGTCTGCTCGTCATTACAAGATCAACTTGATGGTCTTACTAGATTTGTGCAGTCCGATGATCCTGACATTGTCGAATTGGAAGTCAGGTATCAAGCAATTTTACCAGTGTTAGATCGGTACTCGAGGGCAGTGCAGGAGGTAAAACGTCTTGACCCTCGTCACGACTGCGATTTCGACGCATTCGAAGCCCAGTATTTTCGGGCATTAGCCCGCTGTCGAGTGTTGAAAGCCTCACAAAGTCACTCAGGGCCCTCGGTCCAAATGATAGCGGATTCGGGAGCACCAGTCACTTTGGTTTCTTCTAATTTGAACCCAAATTTGAGGTCATTGACCAAATTACTCTTGGTACTTAACCTCAAAATACTTAACCAAATTTGAGAGCCACAAGATGGTAACACGGCCGACGACGAGTCAGACCGACTCGCAGCGAATCAAGAGCCCCGAGAGCCCCGTGTGCCGTTTGAAAGCATGGCCGATGAGGGTTCGGTTCAGGCTTTGACGAGCTTTGATCTTTCGCATTACGCCTAGAACATGCATCTTAAAAAAAAAAAAAAAAAAAAAAAAAAAAAAAAAAAAAAAAGTATACAACTTTTTTGTACACGGCCAAATTAACAAGGAAACCCGTCGTTATCGATTGTGGGAAGTTTGCAAATATTCGCAAATGAAGCTAACTCAATTCCCTAAATATATCATTTTCAGAAGAATAAAAATGCCAAATAGCTCTGCCAGAGTTAGATGCAATTACATTTTAAACTTCTAGCAAATCAGGAGTCCACGGGTCAATGCATGCAGTGACTGGACCGACCGGCGCGGCGCAAAATTTGGTCTTCCGTGCTAAGATTCAGTTACGTAGCAAAGACTTCATTACCGATAAAATGGCGGGGGCGGGCAGAGCGGGAGCGGAGGGACGGCTCATAGCATCAATTAGGGACAGGTTTAACGACTTTTTAAACGCGCCGGCTACGTCAATTATGAATGCGGCCAGGCTACATCGATCGCGGGTCGCAGAAACAAAGCACGTCATAAATAATGGAGAAAGAAGCAGATTGTTCCGCCGAACGCAGGGCCGCAAAAAACTTCCAGGCATGAGGGTTTTCGAGGCACAACAACATTTTTGAATGGTTAGGGACGTAGCCGCGGGCAGACCCTTCGACTCCCCCATGACCGGAAAATTTCCCCGAAATACGTCATTTTTTGTGATTTTTCTGATGAACATGTGTTATTAGGTGATGAAATGATGATTTATTTGGAAAGAAGATATTAAATGCTTCTTTTGGAACACCTAAAAATGAAGGGATTTTGAACTAGGATTAGGGAGGAACGAGTGCAATTTCAGGAAAATTTCATATATTCTGAATGCAGCTGATGAGAGGAGTTTGATTTCAGGTGAGAAAAGGTGAAAAAACAAGAAGGGAGAAATAGGGGAACATTAGCAGAAGGAATTACTTAATGGCTGGCTGCTGAATGGGATTAGTACTACCCTTAGACGGTTTTTAGAATTGTTTTTTTCTTTAAAAAAAGGGGAGGTTCCTAAAACGCCAGTGACTCAATGCTTTCAAAAGTGAAAGCCCGAACGTGCTGATACAAGTAACAAAATGTAAGATATTAAATCAAAATATTTGAGACATTAAAAAGTAAAAAAAAAAAAAAAAAAAAAAAAAAAAAAAAAAAAACAGAATATACACATGTGAAAACATTCTTAATAGCTAGGGTACACCTTTAATATGAAGGTCCACAAAACCAAAAAAACTTCCTGGGTACCTATTGCACGCCTATCTGTTTTTGTAATTGATTTTTAAATCCTCAAAATCGGAGTTTCTCCTGTCTCACTAAGGAACGCACACAGGTACCAAACTATTTTCGATGATATGCACAGACTTAAAAAAATATTCGAACACCTGAATTACTATTGCCAGCAAAGAAGGAAGAAGAACAAAATGAATACCCGGATAAAATTGCATGAGTGTAAAAGAGAATGCTCTCCTTCCCATGGAAGACCATGCTTTTTTTATTATGGAAAATGTTAGTCATCAAGATACTGGCATAGTCTGAAGTAAAAAGCATGATCTCAATCTTATCTTACAGAGGAGCTTGACTGCATATTTTATAAATTCCCTTCACAAAATCAATATGCAGATAATACACAAGAGGCTACTTACAATAAAGAATCATAGGCAGTGATACGACTGTTTGAGAAAAAAAATTCAAATGAAAAGTATGAACAGAGAATATTACGGAATATTAGTAAAATATATTTCCGGAATCTTGATTCCATGTTCCTCTCCAAATTGGAAGGTCACTCTTTGATCCATTCCAGGAATCGGCACTGCAATTTCACGTGGAGTGTGCGAGCTGTTGACTAGTGAATTTGGACCCAGTTGGAAATACTTGATATAATACCATATCGGTCCTTGGTCAATTTAATAGGCGCATCGAGAAGAAAGGGAACTATCTTTTTCTGTACACCCTCCGAGTCACAGGGCGACTCAACGGCTTCAAACAGTTTTGAAGCAATGCGTGATTCACCCATATCCTCACTGATAGAATATTCTACGATATATGTTTAAGTTGTAGATCTATCAGAGCCGAACAATCCTATTTCATTCAGGTACACATCACAATCACAGGAAAATGCCAGTAAGTAACTTCCATGTTCCCATTGATGCACGGTATAGATACTGTTACCATTTACAAACCTATCAACAACAATGCTATGTTATGCTATGCCACTTGTTTACTTGTCACTTGCCTTATCAATGATTTTAACTTTTATTATATGAACGGTTTATTTTATTTAATTTGATATTTAATCTCGGAATTGCTATGTAATTGTCTTTACCATGTAGTTACTCACTTTGCTTATTTAGTTGCTTTGTAGTTTCTTTGTAGTTTTGCATGTGTGAGTTTGCTAATGTAAGCCCTGATGATGAGACCTGGGGTCTCGAAAAGCTTCGGCATGTAAGTAATTTAATTATACGTAAAAATGAATAGCATCGTGGTTTGTCTTGAACTTATTTTTATTTTAATTTTAAGTTTTACCATAAATATAAATATCAACAACAAGGTAAGGAAACGATTAACGCGGTGTAGCAATGAAGTTAGCGGGCGGTAAGGCACCGCTTGCTTTATTGGCAAGTACAAAAACATGGACAAAGTCTTTGTCTGCTAATAGTCCATTACCAGCGACACATGACGAGAATTCCGTCGATGACAATAGAGGGTATCTCAGTCGATAAGTATAGCCAGACACAGATGAACGATTCTCAGAATTAATCGTCAAATTTCTTCTGTTACATTCAGCCTCCGACCATCTGAGCGTGGCCCTGAGTAAGTCATACTCCTTAATCTTCAGGCTGTTTCGTTCGAGTATCAAACATAGAGTGTTCAGATCATTACTCGTAAATTCGTCAGTTTCAATGGCTTCTTTAGTTTCATTATCAATGATGCTCAGGCAGTCATCCCTTATTTTATTCTCATCAAAATGCACTGCCTTTGAAAGTATCAAAAATACACTTGACACCTTTAAATTGTCTCTTAAACGGTCGTGGCAGATATTTACTAAAGTAGGTACAGCGTATGTCTTAGCCGCATCGAGAACGTCCATAACATTGTCAATCGTGACTGCAGGGACATCAGAATAGAGGAATTTGAGTAGCACTAAAAATGTATCAGGCTCTATATCCGGAATCATCAGCATTTCGAATTTTCCGTTTTTACTTAAGATATCATCTAACACAGCACTTCCGACGCACAGAATCAGTTTGTGAGCGGGTATCCTCTGCTCTGTTTTGCCAACAAGGATATGAATATCGGCATACTTCTCAGAGTTACAAATAAAGGCAAATCCTTCAGCCAGTACTTGTTTATCACCCTGCCAGTCGTTGGGTAAGTCTGATGGATCTTCAACTTCTTGTTTGATCTGATTTGGTAGAAGTTTCAAGTCTTAGTCGTTTTCATTTGCGGGGACCCTCTGTGTCTTTTCTTGCCTTCTCTATAAGTGTTTTATACTATTTATTTATCATGGATGACTCAATTCCAAATTCATATAATGTTCACGTTTCATCCTTCCCTGTGAATAGCCTGAACGTAGAATCACAAATTTTTTTGTCTATTTATAAAAATGTTCTTCACTCCACGTTTGAGATCTATGTTCCATATTAATTACGTGTTTTTTCCTAAAAAATAAACAAATATGGTTTCTTATCGGATCGACTATCGGTTTATTGTTTACGTTTAAAAAGCCCTTCCTAACGTGCTGATACACTCATCAATACACCACAACTCCACGATTTTGTGCATATGTTCTTCTCCAAGAAGAGCCGACTTTTTAGTATAAAATTGGATTTTTTGTCTATCATAAGACCATGACCATTGCACTTTTGTGAAAGGCATGTAGAAGTGTTTTTGGATATTAACATAATATAAAAAGCGTTACAACTTGTAGTAACTGTGGAACTTCATGAGTACCCAAAGGATTTTAACTTTTCTCTTTCTAGATTCAGGTTCGCATTCCTTCCACATTGGCGAAGCCATCAATAATCCAACTTAATGTAACAATTTACTCATTGAAAAATTGGATGCTGAGAGACCAGTTTCCTCTGACAGAAAAAGAGCAACATGGACTCCTTTCCGTTAACACTTTCTCAATGCGGGTAAGCATTATTGAAATTTTTCCCCCACAGCACGTTTTAAGGTCAGGCATTCATTTTGCGTCACAAAATGAAACATTTATTTCCCATTATCTCTTTAATTCATTTGCGGAACACATCAGTCCCTTATTTTTTTTTTCCTAGTCAATGTAATGTTGGGAGCTTATGTTAAGTTTATGGCTAGTAGAGTCTTAAAACTTTCCCCATTTATTCTTCCGACAACTAATTCCTGGTATTATCACTTTTAAAAATGCCCATATTTTGGTTGCAGGTTTACATCAAATGCTGGTTCCGAGCTTCTAATGCTGTAGGCGCCCCAAAAAACGACCTGGAACTCATCACAGATTTACAGCAATTCAAAAAGTTCGACCCGTTAGGAGCAAGTGCAGCTTTTCGCAAACTTATTGGTACCTGAGCAAATCGCTAGTTTCACTGTCTCTTTTCGACAGCAGAGTCTCCGCAGAGGAAAAGAGAATGTGCCTTCTGAATATGAGAACCAACGATGCACAGTGGGAAAAAAAGCCGATTTAGCGCCGAAAAAGTCGGAAAATCAGCGAAATTGAAAATAGTCAAAATTGGTGTGTATGTGTTTTAACCGTCGACACACATCAAACTCAAATCGTATAGCATTCAAGACGAAAGAATACTCACCACTGTGACAAATCAAGGAACAAATGAATTAATGTTCCGAAGATCAAGCGGGAGGTCTATAGTTCCGCGACCCTCGATACCGCTACTACTCGAGCTCAATTCAATTTCAATAAAACCAAAGAGCATGAAAAACCTCCACTCGCGCAAATAATGACAGAACGTGGCCGCAGGGTGAGGGAGAGGGGGTGATAATGTGGGGATGCCGCAATATTTATAATGAAAAAGCTAAAATTTTATGTCTTTTGACCTGGTTGCCGGATGGTGTGTTTGAAAACCCAAATAATCGGCAGATAAGAAAAATTTTCTCCATGCATCTCGTCGAAAAACACTATCAGAAACAGAGGTAGACAGAATATTTATTTTCCTCTGAACGGCTCAAAACTTGTTTTGCATGTTTTGACAGGACGTCATGTTTTAAGCTAAAACCTTCATTTCCCCTCGTGAATACGTGACGAGTTTATTATTCAGGATATTATTTAAAGTTGCATTAAAAATTACATAAAGGTTGTTAATTTTGGGAAAAGTGGAGATGGACAAGCCTTGCTAAAATGTGGACTACTAAAACTTTTAGGGGAATATTTTTAACTCATTTCATGAAATCTGTACGAACGATGAATGTGAGAACCTTGACAACTGGCCACGCCTCCTGAGAGCAGAGTTTGATTGAAAAATGTAACAGAAAGATCTAAAAGAAGAAGAAAAAAAACCCTCTCAAGAATTCATAAATTTGGGTTAACCGGTTGCTAGGGAGTGGGGCAGTTAAGTTCAAAAAATGTACAACACCCCTTTTCCATTCTCAAATTGAAAAGAATTGTGGCACGCGAGATTTTTTTAGGGAATTTGTTCCTACGAAATGCATTTCTCTCAATGATTAAAGCCGCATGACGGACCCCCGTTTAAAATGTGAGTATCGTAATGCATCAAAGTTTAAATTTTTTGATAAAATATGAATGATCAAAAATTATACCATAAGCTTCGTATGATTATTTTCCTTTTTTGTTGGTTCACAGAAAATAATTACTAAATGTTTGAAAAAACATAGACTCGAAAGTAAGTTTATCTGGGAGAAATTCTCTTGGATCAACGATCACTCCTTAATATTTAACAGTATCATTTCTTTCTATTACTGGACCAGATACAACTTCATGAAAAGTTCCCTGGAGAGCCAAAATCTTCTAACCTCAAACTGCGTACTACTCTCAGAGATTCAAACACGGATCTGCGATTTTTTTTGTAAAAACAAATTGCTCGTTGGGGCCTTTGCTGGGTGACTGGTTTTGTGTCTTTTGGGTGGCTGTGTAAATTAACATTAATACCTAACGCATATCACTATTTACAAATTTTTACATAATATAACTCAATATTGTGTTCTACGCAGCTTAGCCAGCCGAATTTGGCAATATAATGTATTATTAAACAGTATGTAATTTTGCACATAATCGTAGTGGGAATATTATGTAAATTTGGAGATAATAGTAATGTAACGGAGAAATCTCCCATGGATGTAAATAAGCACACAACCTAGCCCCCCTTTGTAAAATCCTACCTAGGATGTGAATTAAGTACACTGGAAAAAAAAAACACATTGGATTTAGAGTCCAGACTCTTAAAAACATCGACAAGAAAAAGTTCTCTTGATTAAATCGGATTTTAGCTTTAATCAAGAACCAAGCCTCTTAATTTAAGCGGATTTCGTTGTGATTCAAGCAAAAATCCGATTGAATCAAGAGTATTTTTTCTTGTCAATGTTTTCAAGAGTCTGGACTCTAGATCCGATGTGTTTCTTTTTTTTTTTTAGTGTACACATTCTATCTATCTATCCATCTATCTATCTATCTTGTAAGAACCAATCTCCTGAGAATAACTGCACATGGAAACCTGGCAACCCTGTCTAATTGTTATTGATGTTGAAGATTCAATGGCACGTGAAAACACTTCCATTATTTCCGCAAATGATTAATCGTCGACGGCCAGAGGCGCTCCCACTCCGCCGCCTCCCGCCTTCGTCCCCCACCCCCGCTCCTTGGCTCGCCCCAAAATGCCAGCCGCCCCGCCGAATGACGCGCCATTTGCTCGTATGTAAGAGCGTGAAAGACAAAAGAAGGAAGCAGCCGTGCCGCACATCCTTCCCGAAAATTCGATAGTCGATTTTTTACTGTCTTATCGGGAAGATATTTACGCAACTTCCGGAAACTTCCTTGAGGAGATCGGTCAGCGCTCTCAGGTTACTCGAATAATGCTCTCTTAGTTGAATGAATTCAGATTAGAGCTGTCGCAAACTTTTGCCTTTGCGAAAAGAAGAGTTGTCTCTTAAGGAAGACTGCGCACGTTGGATCGAGTCAATGGGAGAGGTCGGACAAAATTTGGGAACTTTCAACGCTTTTAACTCCGTTTTTCACTGGAAAAAAAAAAAAAAAAAAAANAAAAAAAAAAAAAAAAAAAAAAAAAAAAAAAAAAAAAAAAAAAAAAAAAAAAAAAAAAACACACATTGGATCTAGAGTCCAGACTCTTAAAAACATCGAAGAGAAAAAATACTCTTGATTCGATCAGATTTAAGCTTAGATAAAGAACCAAGCCTCTTTAATTGATCGGATTTCCTTTTGATTTAAGCTTTAATCGAGCGGATTTACTTTTGATTTAAACTTAAATCTGATTGAATCGAGAGTCCTTTTTCTTGTCAATGTTTTCAAGAGTCTGGACTCTAGATCCAATGTGTGTTTCTTTTTTCCAGTGTTACAAAACTTAGAGGTTCTAAAAGTGGTTTCAATGGTCTCCTCGTAAAATTTTCTTCTACAAGCATCCCTTTAAAGTTAATGTGTGACGAAATGAACATCAAAATTTGCAGTTTTAGACCAAAATTTGATGTCGAACCTCTCCAATTGACGTGACCTCCTGTGCGGCGTAAAATTCGCCATAAGCGTGACGAGAAAGTCTGATATTCACTCCTAACTTCACAATCCTCGTAAGATGTTTGCGCATTTTGGAGCTATGTGTGTCAAAAGTCGTAGTTTTCCTCACGAAAGAACGTAACTAAATTTCAATGATGCCAAATTTCCTCTCACAAATTGCATTTTCACGAGAAAAATCTTCGGCATTTCTGACTGAAAATTGCACTGATTTATCTTCTTATCGCAGGTAAAAATCAGGCAAAATTTGGATAAAAATTGCACAGGTACATTCTCGTGAAAAATTGAATCGTTTAAGACAACTTTGCAGCATTGAAATGGAGTTGCGTTCTTGCGCCCGGGAAACGACGGAGTACGCCACGGCAAAGACACAAGTTGATAAAGATGAGCTACCCCGACTCCTCAACTCGACGCGAAACTGAAGTGGCCGCCGTCATGTGAATTCTACCCAGAATCCTGAGAACCATGTGGAAGATATATGGATTGCATTTGGCAAGAAGGAACCAAGAGCATTCCAATGTCACTAATATTGTGCAACTTTTTCTTTACCTTGCAAATATAGACTGGTCATCTAAAAAAATATATCTTTACTCCTAATAAACTATTAATTCACGAGGAAAATTAACCTTGTTAATTTAGTTTGCTGCATGATTGCAGTAATTTTACTGCAAAGAACGAAAGTTGCACAATCTTAGCAAATTGGTTCCTTTTTGCAAAATGTAATCCATAAGATCATCTCCAGCCGTGATGCCGTGAGTCCTTACAGGCGTGGAGATGGAGAAAATTACCGCAAGAATCCCACATATTTTAACGTAATTTTATCTGAGATATTTCGCATTGTAATAAACAATTTTTGCGGTCGAATTCAAACCACGAGTTACTTCCAAGAGACACGTGCAGAGAGACTGGGATCCGTATGAGGGCGGCAAAATGGCGGCGAGGTAGTTTCTCCGCTTTCCTCCGTTGCTAAAGCGACCACATGGAAGAGTAAAATATGATATATAACCGTCCGCGGTTTTGGTGCAAAACGCTTCTGTCGAGGTGTGGTGGCAACACGGCTCTTGTTCTTCGGTTTTGACTCTTGTAATACAAGAAAAAAGCTACTTGACTGAAGTAGTGGTTGTATACTTTGCCCTCACCCTCTTTGTACACTGCGAACGTCCCATTCCCCTTTAACGCCGAGTCTTAAACATACCTGGGCACTAAATAAGCAGCAACACACCCGAGTTCTCGCTCCGTTTTCCTTTGCCTCGATTTCTTCTTCCCTTTTCATTTTTTTTTCACTCAGTAGTTTTCCCAATCCCGTTGCGAAATTAATATTTCAGACCTCGCTTTTCATTTAATTTCTCTCGTGTCACCTTCCTCTTTCCGTCTACTTTTATCTTCGGTTTGAGCCACAAGGCCCTCAAGTTGAAGCGGGAAAAGGGATCAGAGGATCTGAGACGGGTAAAGAGTCCAAGAACCGTGCCCTCCCTTCATCTTTGACTTTTGTCTTCCGTTTCCTTGTCCTGGAAAGTTTATTCTTCCCTGGGTTTTACTTTCCGCGCCGAAAGCATAAAATTTGGTTAAAGTTTCTCTTGTTAAAATTTCAAAGGTTAATTCAATCTAAGTCAACACCGTGTCACTTTTTATCCTTCATCGTTTGTTCTTACAATCTATTTGAGTCGACTGAATTCGCCGAACCACGAGATGAAAATCGGGCATTTCAGGATCTTAGAACGTAATATTATGCGGCTACAGACCGAACGAAAAATTAAAATTGTACACATCCTACAAAACCGGAGGACACTGAAACTGCTACACTGGAAAAAAAAAACATTATATCTGGGGTCCAGACTCTTGGAAACATTGACAAGAAAAAATACTCTCGATTCAATCAGATTTAAGCTTTAATCAAAAGGAAATCCGCTCAAATTAAGAGGCTTGGTTCCTTTTGATTTAAGCTAAAATCCGATTGAATCAAGAGTATTTTTTCTTTTTCCTGCACTAAACAAGTTGAATTTCTATCTTATGGCATCTTTCGCACGAACTCGTCACAATAATCGATTCAGACTTTTGGAATATTGATCAAGTTGGTGGATAAGAATCTGAAAAATAATCGACAACGCATCCTTAGCCCACAATCGCGAGATTTTGGTTGCTCGATACCGCCGTGGTCTGAGGCCTTACCGTGTGGCAGGTTAAATGACGGTTGAATAAAAGAAACTTCGAAGAAAACCAACAAAATGTGGATTCACAGGAAAACTTCCAGGCAAAAGAAGGCTGGGAACACATATTGCCCTTGCCTGGGCAAAGCACAAAGTTTCAAAAAGCGCCATTAAAGTCTGAGGCGAAGTTCCACGCCGTTGTCATACCGACTGGCAGTTATTCCGAGTCGTGTTACATGATGTTCAAAAAAAAGGGACCAATCTGCGGTTCTCCGGGGAAGGTTTTGAATTACAGAAAACTGCAGAACACGTAAACCTCCATTCCACGAGGCAGCGCGGCGTTGAAGAATCTCCGTAAAATTTGGGACTTATCAAAAATAAGAGAAATCCACTCAGCACATGTAAATGGTCCCAACTGTATCGTCAACTTGACATTTGAAAGCTTTCAGAAATGTATCCGATGATGTCTGAGATATTATGTTCACACAGATCGCACTCGTGTATTACGGTTCAAGAAGCTTGGTTTTGTGTTTATATTAAAATGGTGGATAATAAACATTATTTTAACACAACTACCGATGTTGGAACTGGCTATGAAGTCCGTACGGAAGTTTATTTTCTCATTTAAAAAGAAAAAAGAACACATTTTTAATCTGTGAAAAGCGTCCAAGTACTTAAACTGCATTACTTGTTCAACTGCGGTACCGTCCACTGCTAACTTACATCGTATTGGATTTTTGCTGGTGACCATCCTTTTTGTTTTTTTAGCCGACACTTTCATGTTGAATGTCTTCGCAGTTAGGTTGAAGGAATGGAGCATTCTTTGCAGATCATCCTCGGAGCTTGCTACTAAAACAGCATCGTCTGCATAACAGATTACATTGATATTCGAGATTATATTGATATACCAGAGTGCGTGACAACGTCAAATTCACGGAAAACGGTAGAAGCCCTGGCCAACAACTAGACCCCCGTAGCTGAGCGTGTTCGGTTCTACAGCAACAATCCTATATCTGGCTGCAAATGAGAAGGATTACCAGCTGCCCCGCTATTGAACAATCCTGATGAAATCATCCCACCAGCGTATAATCTTGTCGTTGGCTTAGACGACGATTTCCGCGATACCCGTGGAAAGTTAGTCGTACTCGCCAAGGAGCTCCCGAAGTACTTTACCCGTCCTGTTGATTATGCCAGCGATGGAAGTAGAACCATGTTAATGACTAATGACCAGAATGGTATGAGAGTAAGCGATAGAGGCATTCAAGAGTTAGTTGGTGCGTACAATAACTCAATCAAGATAGAGAGAAATATCCCTGAGTTCGACAATGTTCGGCCAGTAATTGCCGAAATACATTTGTATGGAAACTTCTCGCTACACGGAGAACGACCGCTGACCGTAAGTCGGTTCTATCCTGCTTTTGCAACTAGAGATAGATTAGCATCTCCCCAGGTATCCATCATTGGGTGGAAGAATGCGCGTTCTCTCATTTACGCATAATTCATTTGAAGGGTTTAAATCCTGCAACGTAAAATAAATGGATTCCCAAAAGTGAATAGATTATTAAAGACCGACGAACCCCGCCTGTGCCGTCTCTTCAGCGGTACTGCCGGCCCCAAGCCCGGGCTGAGGAGAAGGGTTCGGAGGTAAGGCTGATAGAGGACAGGTCACTCTGGACATTCAGCGAGTACCTAACGCTACTAAACACGAAAAATTGTTACATCGTGCTGTGTGTGCTGCTGAGCAGACGTTTACGGGTTACTCTTATTTGCAGGGGCACATTGATTTATTGATGTTTATTGTGGACATTTGCGGTGCTGATGAATCGTTGCTTTTACATATTTTGAGACAATTTTCTGTGGGTGATTATTCAGCGTATTTTAAGGATAATTTTGAAAAGATGTGTAAAGAAGTGTTGAAGCGCGAATACGATTGGGAAAAATTCGGGTTTCCTGATTTGATTACATGTTTCATTGCTCGTGTTGACATGAGCAGAGAGTTAAAAGGGGAATTCGCTGATGTTTTTATGGATAACGGGATTGAAAGTTTAATTTATTTGGCAATAGCGAGGTGGAAACAACAGCTAGACTGGGTTGACTCTCATCTAAATTTATTCACTAAATTAACAGATAAAGTAGAAAGGGCGAATTTTAAAAGAGAGTAAGAAGATTTTAACTATGCGAATTGCCCTATTGACTGGTATGAAGTTTTGGATGATTGGAAGTTGTATTTGCGCAATAATGAAAATTTTGTTAATGAAGAAGTGTTAATTGAAGAAAGCGATTGTGAATACGACATCAATTCCGATGTTGAGAGCGTAATAGACTTCCAAGACGACAAAACTGAAGATTTTGACGTTGGAGATTTCGCATCCGAGACGCTGTCTGTGTTTGATTCTTCGATAGTAACACCCGAAAAAGAAATCAGTGAATCTACGATGCGGAGTCTGGTGACGTCTCAAGGTGTGAAGTGTGATAAATTGTTAGAGTGTGATGACAAAATTGATGCAGCGAGTTTGCTCTCACGCGCTTCGTCGCGAAATTCTTCTATGGACTCTGTGATTAGTAGTGTTGTTCTGCGTCATAGTTCTCATCCTTCTACCGCGTATTCAAGGTTATTTACCTATAAAATGAAAAAGGAAAGTAAGACTACCAACGAAGTGAGAGAACTAGTTCCCATTGATAACAGCTCCAAAAAGGTGGGAGTAGTAGATTGGCATAACTCCCCTGGGAAAGTTAAAGTTGGCGTTTATTTTTCTTCAAATTGTACAGATAAAAGAGATCCGTTTATCGGTTACGGCGCCGAAACTCTGTTTGGTTTTGAAGAGTTAACTAAAAAACGCGCGAAGCGTGCGTACGCGGTTTACGGTGAGTGGTCCGGTTTTGGCGTCACACATGACAATGGGTTTATTTTATTTATTTGTTGTTATTCAAAATCTAGAGCCGATTCTGATAGGGCTGCCGTCAAATCATTTTTGGATTGGTATCCTGAAAGGGGAACGCGGTGTTTAATGGAAATGGAGACAGATGATAAACTCGCAATTTATCAAACGATTCTTTTTGCGAATAGATCAATTTCTTTGGTTCAATATCGAAATTCTCAATATGAAGATATAGTTAAAATGTACGCTGCATCGCCGTTTTCTTCCCCTGCACCTAATATAGTCGACGTTTTCCCGAAATTGGATGATGAAGATTTGGGTTATGAGAGGCGGCCGCCTTATCTTGTCGGTGACGGACCAAAAGTTTATTTTAGGAACAGTATGATAGAGTATTTGCACATAGAAAAGAACACCGTTAAAGTTAAACTTAAAAAACACGATTGGGTTATCAACATTTTAGAGTCTGAATTTAATGCTACCAACCTGCCTCCGGTAGAAGGACCCATTTTTCTCGTGGGAGAAATAAAAAGCCTCGGTAACAATAATTTAATCGCGGGATTTTCAAAACATTGCAATCGAGATACAGCTTCATCAGATGCTGATAGCTAAATTGTTAACAGCCTGTAAAAAGACAAAATATTTTCCATAACATAAAAATTAAGTAATTTGCATGACTCCGGTGGTGGCGATTCTTGAAACTTGGCAACTTTATTTTTCTTTCATTTAAATGTAAGTAAAACAATCGATTTTTGAGGCGGCTTGCCTCACATAAATCGATACATGCAATGGATTTAAATGAAGGAAAAACAGTATTGCCAACTTGCAAAATCGCCACTGCATGACTTCAATCAAAAGGACATAAGCATGGGGACCTGCAATTGTCAAAAGAAGGTTCAACTGTTGCAGACAAAGTTACATTTTGGAGCCCGATGCGTGAAAACTCATTGTGGGAATCAGACGGTTGAAAGATCCTTTTTTAAAGATAGTTATTGGTCAATGCAAAGAGGAGAAAAATCTAGTGACCTCTTTAGTTAAAAATACACTGCTTTTTGCAAACGATGTAAAATTGCGCCTCTCAACATATGGTAGAGTTTCTTTTCACAGAAAGGTCATGTAGATGAGCTGGTCGAGTATCAGGGCACTCCAAAAAATTCCTGAGTTCCCTTTATGGGTTGGAATTACTCTCGGAGTATCGGTTCGAGACACTTCATCCCCAAGGTACTCTCATTAGGAAGCCCCGCCGAACTGGAGTACCTCCCACTCCTTTGAGCTATGAACTTCAGTGCGTTCATCCCACTCGGATGGAAATAATCTGTGAGGCGACGACGCACTGTTCACCATTACATGCGTCCGATAAGAATTCGGGTTTAATCTCAAGTTAAAACGAAAAATCATGTTACCCTTGTAGACTTCGAATAACTTTTGTTTTCAATCGCTGCACTGGCCATGATTAATTTTGAAATTTTTTCAGAATCCGGAATCAGTGATTCCCTTTTTCTACTGCTAACTATGAATGCTAGTTTCTCTGTACGGCAGGTTTCTTTTAAACAAATAAAATAGTAATATGCGTTCATCCCGTTCGCAAGGAAATAATCTGTGAATCGACGCACTGTTCACCATTACATGCGTCTGATACGAATTCGGGTTCAATCTTAAGTTGAAACGAAAAATCATATCACCCCTCAAGACGTCGAATTACTTTTGTTTTCAATAACTGCGCTGGCCATGGTTAATTTTGATTTTTCTGAATCCGGAATGGTGATTTTCTTTTTCTACTGCTAACTATGAATGCTAGTTTCTCTGTGCGGTAGGTTTGCTTTAAACGAATAAAATGCACTTAGCTACGTGTTCTGCATACGTGAATTTTGGATGCGAAAACATGGCTTAATGGTGCATTAAATCATACTCTGCTTGGAGATTCAATAAGACTGTGAATTTTTCCGCGCTCACTAGTGTAAAAAATGTGCAAAATGAATAATTTCAGAAAAAGCCAACAACTGCATAAAACACCGCGACTGAATCACAATGTTTTCGTCTAAAATGAGGGATAAAAATGTTTTCAACAAGAATAACGACATTATAACAATATTTTAACAAAAAAACATCATTTTCTCCCTTACTCATGAAGAGGACTTGTGGCGTCGATGCACTTGCCGGAGCTCTTCGAAAATTCTGAGCGCCTTCAATTTTTTCTCCGGGCAACATCGGCGGCTTCTGATCAAGTATAGTTGCATTCGGCCCCTGACGGCTCCTGCTTTCGATCTAACTCTATAATTGATATTGAAGTGTGGAGGCGTATTTTTCTTTTAAACGCTTTGCGTCGTTCGTAAAAGAATAACGGATCGAATGAGAATTCAAATGCAAACATTAATCAATTTCAGTAGAAGTTGAACAAAAATCGCGAGCATTTTTGCGTAAAAACATGCAACGACTCTTTTAGCGAGGCACAGGAAAGAACAGAAATCGTAAGACTTCCTCACAGACCAGCATACTCATGCTTTGCAATAACGCAATTAAAGAAAAAAAAACGAAAAATAAAGTTCATATATACAGTTCTCAGCTAGGTCGAGGCTTAAGCAGAACGTGAGAAATAGTTTTCTAACAAAATTTTCCGAAGATATTTTCGCCGCTAAAGTAGTCGAAAAGACTCTTTGTTTCACAAGAGAAAAAGTCCTCTGGAGAAAGTAAATTCCATGTAATTCACTTAACTTCCCCTGAGACTCCCTTCATCAGCTAGATGGAGATATTGTGATATTCCCGGGAAACTCATTTAAGTGTCCCCAACTATACTTTTAATTCAGGAGGTCGCAAACCTTGTACTGCTGAACTACGAGTGGTCATGAGCCTCATTGCACGGCCGTGCTAGGAAGAACGTCGTATGAACATTCGAGAGTTGCCAAATTTCCTTCAATAAAATGTTTGTTTTTGAGGAAAGATATGAATATTTTTCCTTGAAATTTTCAGGGACTTCAGGTGAAATCGGGAACAAAATAATCTGTAAAATTGGAAGGAAATATTGATAAGTTTACCAGGAAATTGGTGTTTTATTAAAGGAAATTTGGCAGCGCCTGAAGGCTTATACGGCGTTCTTCCTCGCCTGAAGGCTCATACGGCGTTCTGCCTTAGCACAGCGGTATACTTGTTGGTCTTTTGTGGAAGTTGGGGTCACGTATGGTGTGAAGCGCCTGCTCTCCCGAAGGACGCAGGACATAACGATGCTTCAACAACGTCAATTTCCCGATATCGGACCCTTGTAAAAAGGCCTCTCGCCGGGGCGGGAACAGGGATTTCCATGGCACGTCGCGAACTTGGCCGGCGCTTTTCGAGGGGCGAAAATCTTGGCGCATTACGAGCGTGACAGAGGCAGGCATATCTGCACGGGCGTTTTTATTAAACCATAAATTTCGAGCAACCTGACTCCGGCGTCGCAAAAAGGTTCTTTTCACCGGTGTATTGTTAACGGCGACCTGGAGCGGCTTCCAGCTTCGCCGGTGTTGCCAAACCGTGATACAACCGTCCGGTCTTCGCTATGATGCCCGCGGGTAATTTACACGCCGGATGGAGTATCACTTAATTTGGCAATACTTGTGGGTGCTCCATTCCGTCGCCGGTAACGAACTGCGACACTTGCCCCCGCCGTGGACCGAACCGAGTACGTATTTTCACGGACCCGACAAAGAACTCAAGGCGACTGTCTTCATTTCCTTATCATTTCCTTTGGGAGTTGAATTTCATAATTCAGTTATCGCGTGTGGTTAACAGGAAAAGCGAACACTTTTGGAGGAATTTTTTTCACAAA